AGGTAGCAGAAAACACCCAAACAGAACAGCAAAAAGAAAGAAGAATCCCCCCAAATGATAATAGTTTAAGACGCCTGTGGGACAACATCAAGCATTTCAATATTTGCATCATAGGGGTACCAGAAGGAGAAGAGTGAGAGCAAGGAATTGAAAACCTATTTGAAGAAATAATGATGGAAAACTTCTCTAACCTGGCAAAGGAAATGGATATTCAAGCCCAGGAAGTGCAGAGAATCCCAAATTAGATGAACCCAAAGAGGCCCACACCCAGACACATCATAATTAAATTTCCAAAGACTAGACAGAGAGTCTTAAAAGCAGCAAGAGAAAAGCAGTTAGTTACTTACAGGGGAGCTCTCATAAGACTCAGATGATTTCTCAACAGAAACTTTGCAGAAACTTGGCATGAAATACACAAAGTGATGAAAAGCAAGGACCTACAACCAAGATTACTCTACACAGCAAAGCTATCACTTAGAATTGAAGGATAAAGAGCTTCCCAGACAAGAAAAAACTTAAGAAAGTCATTACCACCAAACCAGTATTACAAGAAATGTTAAAGGGATTTCTTTATGAAGAAGAAAAAGATAAAAAATATGAATAATAGGGGCCGGCTGAGTCGCTCAGTTGGTTAAGAGTGTGAGCTCTGAGCAATAGGGTTGCTGGTTCGATTCCCACATTGGTCAGTGAGCTGTGCCTGAGCTGAGCTGCTGCTGAGCTGCCAACAGGTGGCAGGATGGCTCAGCTAGTGAGAGCACGTGCTCCTAACAACAAGGTTTCTGGTTCGACTCCCGCATGGGATGGTCAGCCACACCCACCCGCAACTAAGATTGAACATGACACCTTGAGCTGAGCAGCTGCGAGCTGCCAACGGGCAGCCGGATGGCGACTGGACTTGGAGCTGAGCTAGCTGCGCCCTCCACAACTAAGATCGAAGGACAACAACTTGGCTGTTCCCCTTCCCCAATTCCCCAATAAAATATTTTTTAAAATATGAATAATAAAATAGCAGTAACTACATATATATCAACAATTACTTTAAATGCAAATGGACTAAATGCTCCAATCAAAAGACATAGGGTGGCAGAATGGATAAGAAAACAAAACCCTTACATATGCTGCCTACAAGAGACTCACTTCAGATTGAAAGACACACACAGGGCCGGCCGAGTGGCGCGTTAGTTAAGAGCTGGTTTGGGACGCCAGAGGGCCCCGGTTCGGATCCCACATATGAGGGCCAGTGACACTGCCCTCCACAGCTAAGATGCTGAACAACAGCTCAACCTGGAGCTGGGCTGCCGTGAGTCACTGGCGACGGCATAGGCTGCAGCCCCTGTGGCAGTGGGTTGCCATGGGCTACCGTGTGTAGCCAGCAGCCAGCGTGAGCGGCCAGCAGCCGCAGTGAGCGGCCATCCAGAAGCCGGTGACTGATCTGCCTCGCCCGGGAAGAGCGCAATGATGGTGCCAACATGGGCCAGTGAAGCAACGTCCTCCACAACTAGACTGAAGAACAAAACGACAGCAACTTGTCTGTTCCCCTTCCCCCAATTCCCCAGCGCTGTCCCATCCCCCAATTCCCCAATAAAAAAAAATCTTTAAAAAAAAAAAAAGAAAAAAAAAGAAAGACACACACAGACTGAATGTAAAGGGATGGAAAAAGATATTTCATAAAAATGGAAACAAACAAAAAAAGCTGGGGTAGTAATACTTATACCAGTCAAAACAGACTTTAAAACAAAGGCTATAACGAGACAAGAAGGACCCAGTAATTCCACTTCTGGATATTTATCCAGAGAAACCCAAAACACTAATTTGAAAAGACATACGTCCATATGTTCATTGCAGGATCATTTATAATAGCCAAGACATGGAAAGCAAGCTAAGTGTCCATCAATAGACAAATGGATAAAGAAGTGGTACATATATATACAATGAAATATTACTCAGCCATAAAAAAGAATGAAATCTTGCCATCTGCAATGACATGGATGGACCTAAGGATATTATACTAAGTGAAGTAAGTCAGACAGAGAAAAACAAATACCGTATGATTTCACTTATGTAAAACAAATACCGTATGATTTCACTTATATGTGGACTCTAAAGAACAAAATAAATAAACAAAACAGAAAGAAACTCATAGATATAGAGAACATTTTGATAGTTGTCAGATGGGAGGGGGTTGGGGAGATGGGTAAAAAGGGGGAAGGGATTAAGAAGTACATATTGGTAGTTACAAAATAGTCATTGGGATGTAAAGTACAACATAGGAAATATAGTCAATAATATTGTAATAACTATGTATAGTGCCAGGTGGATACTAGATTTATTGGATTGATTACTTTGTAAGTTATATAAATGTCTAATCACTGTGTTGTACACCTGGAACTAATATAATATTATATGTCAACTGTAATTGAAAAATAAAAAATTATTTTTTAAAAACTGTATGGTACTGGCATACAGACAGACCAATGGAACAGAATAGAGAATCCATAAATAAACTCATATGATCTCAAAAAGGGTGCCAAGATTACACAGTGGAGAAAGGACAGTCTCTTCAATAAAAGGTGCTGGAGAAACTGGATATCCACATGCAAAAGAATGAAGCTGGACTGTTACCTTACACCATATACAAAAATTAACTTAAAATAGATTAAAGACTTAAATATAAGACCTGAAAGTATAAAACTTCTAAAAGAAAACTTAGGGAAAAAGCTTCATGACATGGGTTTGCCAGTACTTTCTTGGATCTCACATGAAAAGTACAGGCAACCAAAGGAAAATAGACAAAAGGGACTCTATATCAAACTTAAAAACTTCAGTGCATCCAAGGAAACAATCAGCAGAATGGAAAGACCATACCGTTTTCCATAGCAGCTATGCAATTTTACATTCCCACCAACAGTGACGAGCGTTCCAATTTCTCCACATCCTCGCCAACACTTGTTATTTTCTGGTTTCTTTTTTATAGTAGCCATCCTAATGGGTATGAGGTGATTTCTCATTGTGGTTTTGATTTGCGTTTCCCTAATGACTAATGATGTTGTATACTCTTTTATGTTCTTACTGGCCATTTGTATATTTTCTTTGGAGAAATGTATTTTCAAATCCTTTACTTATTTTTAAATTTTTTTTTGTCTCTCTGTTGTTGAGTTGTAAGAGTTCTTTATTCTGAATACAAGGCCCTTATCAAATGTATGATTTGGAAATATTTTCTCCCATTCTGCAGATTGTCTTTTTCACTTTCTTGATGGTGACCTTTGAAGCACAAAAGTTTTTTATTTTGATGAAGTCTAATTTATCTGTTTTTTCTTATGTCATTTGCACTTTCAGATACTCTATTTGATATCTTTAATGATTTATCTGAAAATCTGATTTGATCACTGGAAACATAACTATTACTCTTAGCTTTCCTGATTTGGAACTGTAAAGCATTTGATTTAAAATGTTTGCCAATAACATATAGAAGAGCTTAGAAATGTTGATACCCACCGAGGTGGTAAACCCATTTCTATGAACTTATCCTCTGAAAATAGTTTAATAGAAATACATCCTATATACCCAGAGGTCATTTCATTGTCACCTGTGAGAGAGGGATGCTGGAAGCACGTTCAGTAGCAGACGAGGATGAGTTCAGTCCATAGTGGTGTATTATTGGCAGCTATTGAATGTTATAATTATGAAAAGTATTTAATGAAAATATTTATGTTGTAACGTTCAGTGAAAAAAACCACAAGTATGTACCCACCATGATTAAAAATATGTATAAAATATTTGCCCTAGATGGAAGAGTATACAAAATTATAGGTGGTTTCATTTTCTTAAATTTCATTTAATATTTATATTAAAAATTAAGTAAAAAAAAACCTGCATGACATTTCAAATTGATTGGGGAAATGGTGACAAGTGGTTAGATCTGGGCATATGTTAATCCTTATATCACCCTATTTTTTAATAGTAATTATTTCTTATGATCATCAGGGTGAGACTTACAAACAGAAAAATAGTTTGCTATGTTTATTTACTAAGAATTTGAATAGAGATATTTTAATTTTCTCTACATTTTTATATCAAATCCAAACACTGATGATAACATGATTTTGGTATTAGTATTATTTTAGTCATTATCAGTATTATAATTTGCTACAGGAAAGGTAATGATGATCGATAATAGACATGACAGAAAAACTTTCTCAGGCATCTCATGAAATCATTGTTATTGTAATTATTTTACATGTAAACAAATCAGTCACCCCAGCTTTTGAATCTCAAATGGACCAAAGATTTAATTGTTGGTTTTCAAGGAACAATAAAGGCATCGAAAGAAATAAAAATGTAAGGGGCCTGTGGATCCCTTGACCCCGTGCTTTCCCTGCGTGACAGTGGTCAGGGGTACAGCTCGTAACTGGGAGGTGATCCCGCTTCTGTAGCTGGAAATGGGTTTGACAGGGCAGCAGGCAGGGAGAAGCCAGAGAGAGAGGCCTGGCTCCTGCAGCCAGACTGTGCCGCCTGCCCCGCCTCCCGCCGACTTGGCCTCTGGGCCTGGCTTGGTTAAGGCAGAGGCGTCATCTTGTTCTCATGTGTGGGAAGGCTATGAAAAGAAAACCCTGGTTGGCCCAAACATTAAACAAGAATTACACTAGGATCTTTTGTTCTTACTCGGACATGGTCAGAATTAATTTGGAGGTCCAAAACAGGATTGTTTTGTTGTCGTTTTTGTTTTTGAATCTGAGTTTCTTAATGCAAGGATGCAGAGGGAAGTACAAAACAAAACCACATGGCTGGGATCTATCAAATGGTGTTGGAACATCCCCAGGTCATTCTTCTACATTAGTGTTTGGGGGGCTCCTGACTCAAACTGGACATTCAGGCTGCTGCCGAACTTCCTGTGAAAGGGCCCAGTGATAGAAGTCAAGCAGTGGAGTGTGTCTGGGTAGCTGAGAAACACACAGACAGAGCTTCCAAGATCTTAATCATTTTTTTCCCTTCCTCCTCAGGTTTAATAGGGAAAACTTGCTTTCTGCCAACAACTGAAAAAGCTACCCTTGGAAACGTTTCTTTGGCCCTCATGGAGCGGCTGGAACTTGTACTGTGAGGCCCTTGATGGGACGAGCTTTCGGCCACTGATCCCCCAGAGTGGCTGTCACCATGGCCAGCAAGAGGAAGTCCACCACCCCGTGCATGATCCCGGTGAAGGCGGTGGTGCTGCAGGCCCCCAGCGCGGAGGCCCAGCCGGCCGAGGCTTTGCCTGAAGGACCCCAGCAGGACCTGCCCCCAGACGCGCCTGCCGCGAGCGGCGAGGCCACCCAGAACTCCAGCAGCACCGACGGCGCCGCGCTGGCCAACGGGCACCGGGCCACTTTGGATGGCTATTCGTATTCCTGTAAATACTGCGATTTCAGGTCCCAGGACATGACCCAGTTTGTGGGGCACATGAACTCCGAGCACACAGACTTTAATAAAGACCCATCTTTTGTATGCACTGAGTGCAGTTTCCCGGCAAAAACTCCTGAGGGGCTTTCTCTGCACAATGCCAAGTGCCACTCGGGGCACGCCAGCTTTGTGTGGAATGTGGCCAAGCCAGACAATCACGTCGTTGTGGAGCAGAGCGTCCCCGAGAGCACCAGCACTCCTGACCTACTGGGCGAGCCCAATGCCGAAGGGACCGATGGGCAGGCGGAAATCATCATCACCAAAACCCCGATCATGAAGATCATGAAAGGCAAAGCTGAAGCCAAAAAGATTCATACGCTCAAGGAAAACGTCCCCAATCAGCCCGTCGGCGAGGCCTTACCAACCTCATCAGCTGGGGAAGCAGAGGTGAAAGAGGGGGACCACTCCTTTGTCAACGGGGCCGTCCCAGTCAGCCAGGCATCTGCCACCCCCACAAAGGCCCCCCATACGGCCAACGGGCCTCTGACAGGGACGGTGCCAGTTCTGCCCGCCGGCATCGCGCAGTTCCTGCCCCTGCAGCAGCAGCCGCCCTTGCGCGCCCAGCACCACGCCCACCCGCCACCGCCCACCTCCAAGTCCCTCCCCAAAGTGATGATCCCGCTGAGCAGCATTCCCACGTACAATGCGGCCATGGACTCCAACAGCTTCCTGAAGAACTCTTTCCACAAGTTCCCCTACCCGACCAAAGCCGAGCTCTGCTATTTGACGGTGGTCACCAAGTACCCAGAAGAACAGCTCAAGATCTGGTTCACAGCCCAGAGGCTAAAGCAAGGGATCAGCTGGTCCCCTGAGGAGATCGAGGACGCACGGAAAAAGATGTTCAATACGGTCATTCAGTCTGTACCTCAGCCCACCATCACCGTCCTCAATACCCCCCTGGTTGCCAGCGCTGGCAACGTCCAGCATCTCATCCAGGCCGCTCTCCCGGGTCATGTTGTGGGACAGCCAGAAGGCACGGCAGGGGGACTTCTGGTCACTCAGCCACTGATGGCCAACGGGCTGCAGGCACCGAGCTCGTCCCTGCCCCTGGCAGTGACATCGGTCCCCAAGCAGCCGGCTGTTGCGCCCATTAACACTGTGTGTTCAAACACGACGTCAGCCGTGAAGGTGGTGAACGCAGCCCAGTCTCTGCTCACAGCGTGCCCCAGCATAACTTCCCAAGCCTTCCTCGATGCCAGCATCTACAAAAATAAGAAATCCCATGAACAGCTGTCAGCTCTGAAAGGTAGCTTCTGTCGGAACCAGTTCCCAGGACAGAGCGAAGTTGAGCATCTGACCAAAGTGACGGGCCTCAGTACCAGGGAGGTGCGGAAGTGGTTCAGTGATCGCAGGTACCACTGCCGGAACCTCAAGGGCTCCCGGGCCATGATGCCCGGAGATCCCGGCTCTGTCATCATCGACTCTGTGCCAGACGTGCCCTTCTCTCCGGCGTCCAAGGCCCCTGAGGTGACCTGTGTCCCACCAGCAGCCACTCTGGCCACCCACCCTTCTGCCAAACGACAGTCCTGGCACCAGATCCCTGACTTCACATCAACCAAATACAGGGAGCGAGCCCCCGAGCAGCTCCGAGCCCTGGAGAGCAGTTTTGCACAAAACCCCCTTCCTCTCGACGAGGAACTGGACCGCCTGAGGACTGAAACCAAAATGACCCGAAGAGAGATTGACAGCTGGTTTTCTGAGAGAAGGAAAAAAGTGAATGCGGAAGAGACCATGAAAGCTGATGGGAGTGGCTCTCTGGAGGAGGGGGAGGCCGCTGAGGATGAGGGTGGAGCAGACATTTTGGCGGGTGACCTGAGGGTCCCTGGGGAGAATGGCTCCCTGGAAATGCCCAGCAGCCACATGTTGGCAGAACGCAAAGTCAGCCCCATTAAAATCAATCTCAAGAACCTGCGGGTCACTGAAGCCAATGGCAAAAGTGAGCTGCCCGGGCTGGGCCCCTGCGAGCCCGAAGACGACGGCCCGAACAAGCTGGCCGAGCAGCCCCCTGGCAAGGTGAGCTGCAAGAAGACAGCACAGCAGCGACACCTGCTGCGCCAGCTCTTTGTGCAGACGCAGTGGCCCAGCGCCCAGGACTACGACTCCATCGTGGCCCAGACGGGCTTGCCGCGGCCAGAGGTGGTGCGCTGGTTCGGGGACAGCAGGTACGCCCTGAAGAACGGCCAGCTCAGGTGGTACGAAGACTACAAGCGGGGCAATTTCCCACCAGGGCTGCTGGTCATGGCCCCTGGCACCCGGGAGCTGCTGCAGGACTATTGCCTGACACACAAGACGCTGAGTGAGGAGGACCTGCAGAGCCTCTGCGACAAGACCCAGATGAGCTCCCAGCAGGTGAAGCAGTGGTTTGCCGAGAAAGTGGGCGAGGAGATCCGGGTCGTGGCAGACACAGGCGGCGAGGACCAGGGCCCTGGGGACCCTGCAGCAGTTCACAAAGGGCTCGGTGACACCTATTCGGAGGTGTCAGAAAACAGTGAGTCATGGGAGCCCAGTGTCCCTGAGGCCAGCTCAGAGCCCTGTGACACTCCGAGTCCCCAGGCTGGACGTCAGCTGGGTAAGGAGCCCCCGGGAGCCATGGCCGTCCTCGCAGGTGTGGGGAGGGGGCACCCATGGGCGGGACTGAATTTACTGCGTGGGGGCATCTGCTGTGTTAGGGTGGCTGCCTGGCTGCCTCAAAGGCAAGTGGCCACAGACGTCATTCGAGCATAACATACAAAGCATAAACAGACAAAGGCTTCAGAGCTGGCTTTTCATTTCGTTTCATGTTTTCTTAAACCTGTGCAGGGAAGGAACGTGGTGAACCTACAAGGGGCCAAGTTTTTCTAGCCCTTTCTTAGCAAAAGGAAAATAGGTCAAAACGTCACCGAATCAGACAGAACCACACCACTGGTAGGAGAGAGCAATAGAACTTGAGAGGCAATTCAGCTCAAATTAGTGAACAAAAGGAAAAAGAGTCTTTAATTGTCCTTGGATACATGAGAGGTTTTGTTTTGTTTTTCAATGATGAAAATACTGTAATTTACATTTCTATTGTTCTTTCTGATGTAGAAGTAGTGGAAAATCATTTTCCCTCTTAGCCATATATGGCTAAGTCAAAACCTTGACTTTTGTTCCTCATGGATCATGGTATTAGCACTTGATAGAAAACTAGATTATTTTACTGACAACAGTTTTGAAGCTACAGCTAAGTCACATTATGAAGCATTGATTGCCGAGGGTCTCCGTCCCTGAGTCCCCAGCCTCTCCCTGCCCTCCCCACTCTTAGGCACTCTCGCCCCAGGATGGCCAGAAGCCTGTAACTCAGGTCCTCACAGGAGCCTGTGGAACCTGGGGGAGTGTCTGGATGCTCAGCCTGTCTGATTCGTGGACCTTTACACGTTGGTTCCGGGACCTGGTGCTTCTGCACTTGACCTTGCTTTCCTCCAGGCGCCCATGAGTCAGTGAGGGCCCCCTGGGGAGCATCCTGAGCACCCGGGGGCAGCTGTGGCCTCACAGGGCGGCTGCCTTAGGAGCCTTCTTCAGCTCGGGGCCTGCCCCTGGCGGGTGCCCACCCAGGCTTTGGCTTTGCCAGTGAAACAGCATAGACTGCTGGGAACTAGAAAAAACTCGTTCCTTTTGCTTTTGTAAATTAAATGTTATTCTAGGTTATATTCTTGGGTAGGTGGAAATAGAGTGGTGGTTACACAGCATTGTGAATACTAATGCCACTTCATGCATGAAATGGTTAAAATGGTAGGTTTTATGTTGTATATATTTTACCACAATTTTTTTAAGAAGCTGACCTGGAGTTGGGATGAATGGGCTTGAATCGCAGCTTGAGAGGAGTCAACACCAAGTAAAGTGTTGATGTCCTGGGTGGGACAGAGCAGGAGAGATGGGGGAGCCAGGCCGCTGTGACACCACACTCTCCCGTCCCAGGAGGATAACCACGAGTGCAGGAAGGGCTTGTCTGTGCGTCTGTTCCGAGCTTGTCACAGCTTTGTCAGCACCGCAGCACAAGGGCCACGTCTGTAAACAGCATGGATAGTGGCCCTCTGAGCAGCTCCACTGTCTCTGACTTCAGGGTCGGAAGTGCTAAACAAAGTGGAGACATCAGTAGAATACATGTCAGAAACTAGACCCAGCTGCCGCTCTATTAGAACAGTGTGTTCGGGGAGCCGGAAGGAGAGGGCAGGACGCAGCAGAGTAGGACAGGGCCCCAGAGGTGGCGGTGGCCTGCCAGCTGAGCTGAGGCACGCGAGGGAGTGGGCCCGGAGGAGACGAGGCCCCGCCCGGCTGCGAGGCCCGGGGCATGGCGGTGGCCCCTTGGAGTGCCCATGGCCACACCAGGTTGAGCCAGCGTCCCGTCCTTAACCCGCCTCCCTTCTGCACATTCCCTCTGGCTGCAGAGCAGGGAGTGTCTGGCATGAAGGCATTGCTCATGGAATTGAGGTCCCCAAAGCCAGTGGTGCCACCCTGGTATGGCGAAGATGGCGTGCTGCCCTGGGGGCTGCACAGGCGGCCTCTGACATGGAGGTGACAGACATGTGTTGATGTGTTTTCTCCTCAGAAACAGACTGAATTAGAACCAATTACTGTGAAGGACGGGCCAGTCTGGGATGCCGCCTGCCATGTGGAAGGGCCCCACCGACTCTCTGCTGCCACAGGCCGTTCCCATGCCTGGCCGCTGGGCGCGCACAAGAGCTTCTGGAAGCCTCCCAGACAGCCCAGAGCCCCCGTCACCTTCCGCCTGCCACCACCGAGCAAGCAGGGAGAGCAAGTTCTCGTCAGTTCTTCCTCCCACAATGTAGGACCTTTCCTTTGACTTCCAGTGGATAACGTAGTTCAGATTTCATATTCATAGACACAGAGTCAAAGTTTTAACCTATAAATCCGCCTATACACATTTAATAAAACATCATATTATAAACACTTTTATTACATAGAAACTTTGGTTAGCAAAGCAGTACATTGTCTTTTACATCATCTCTGAAAATGCCCTGTGTCTGTTCTCTGGAGATGGCTGGGGCCACAGGTCCCCTCACTGTCCAGGGTCAGGCAGGCGCTGTGGGCACCCTCAGATTCCGCCTGGAGCCCCTGGGCCCCCTTTGTGTTCCTCAAGGCAGTACCTTTGGAGAGACTCCCTCTGCGTTCAGCGGTGACCAGCACAGCTTCCTCTGGGCTGGCCTTGCCTGATGGGATCATCAGTGCAGAGCCCACTGTGTCCCGCATTTAAAAATGGACTGGTTGTGTGATTTGTGTGGGGTGCTCCCCACTCTCTTAAGTGGTTGCAGTAATTCTGCTTTTTCACGGAAGTTTGAATCATGGACCATAACTTTGTCAGTTTCAACTACAGAAACGTTTGTTGTCAAGCCTAATGTACTGACCTAGGTGCCCGCTTTAAAAAAAAAAATCTTTTTTTAGATGTTTAGAGTGAGAGGAAAGTTGAAAACAGAAACGGGTGGGGTGAAAGTCAGTGCACAGCCACAGTGTGGGGTGTTCCAAGCCCATCCCCCTCTCTTCAGAGCCACCTGTGTTTTAGGAAGGAAGACCCACCTTGCCTGGAAGCGAGAGCGAGAACCGATGGGATTCAGGACTTCTTAAAGTGATCAGAGCTGGGGTGGCCTCGACACAAAGACCTAGCAGGACCCCCAGGTGCTCCCGGCACCCTCTCCAAGGGCCTGGCTGGCGTGCTGGTCACTTGCCCAGGGGTGCTGGCCATCACTGGACAGGTGCTCGTGAGGATTTCTAATTTGAAAGTTCAGTATTTATTTCCGCAAAGTTGGAAACAAGATCTCTGTCTGCTTTAGCTTAACCCTCATATCCATTGTTTTAATTGAGAAAAATCACAGGAAAAGGTGCCTTTGCAACATTGGGAAACTTGCTTACAAAGTTGTACTAAATGGTAAATCTCTGTTTCCCCAAGACTGGCTGCTCTGAGAGCAGCCGGGGACGAGCGGGGCGGGCAGAAGCATCGCCTGCAGCTCCGCTCACCTCCAGGAAACCACCTGCGTCCCAGAGCATCAAGGCCTCAGGCTGGGCTCGCAGCACTAGGAGACCCCTGAGGGAGGCGTGGGCTTTGGGCAGGAAGCTGGTGGTGGGTCAGGCGCCATCCTTCTCCCGACCCCACCAGGGAACTGGACTGGACAGGGCCTTCACTGGCTGCCTGCGAGGACGAAGATGCTCGCAGCACCCTCTGCTTCCAGGAGAGGGCTCGCTTGGAAGCCAGAAGCCCTCAAACCATCCTTGTCCTTCAGAAGTGTCTCCTGCCCTCTCTGTCCCAATAGGAAACTCCTCTTAACGTGTTTCAAACAGGTGACTTGTGAGTTGTGCAGCCTGTTTTTGTATCCTTTCCATTTTGGGCATAAAGCTATTAACCCCAAAGGCCTCTCTGTGGAATTGCCAAGAATGGCGAGTTACTGTCTTCCTTCAGAGAACAGACACGTGGAATTTTTCCTTTAGCGTTTATGTACATTCAGATTAATTTATATGTACACATATACAGTGCAGAGATCCATTTGGTACTTTGCTCCGGAAATAGGCATCTGACGTGTGTACTCTTGAGGAACTTAGTGGCTGGCATGTGGATTTCGGGGAAAGTAGCCTGTGTTGGAGGGAATGCCGGTACATGGGGTGCCCTGGGCGGCCCGGCACGAAGCCACCTGCAGGTATTGGGGAGACACCCTCCCAGCATCACCCCCAGGGCCCTGCACGTACTGGCCAATGGGGCATGTCTTTAGAGAGGGTTTCCTTGGTTATTTGTATTCGCATTTCACTTATAACCCAAACAGCAAGACAGAAAAAAAAAATGGTGGACAAGTTCATGTAGGTCATAGACAGCGATCCACCCTCAGCACCAGCTCGTCTTTAAAAGCTGGAAAAGGCGGCCTGTTTTCCTCACAGAGGTTGGTCCTCACCACCAGCCAGGTAAGGAGCCCAGCGAGGGGCCAGACCCTCCTCCCCACTGGGCTCTCGGACGGGAGTGAATGAGTGGGTGTGGGCCTCACGCTTGAAAAGAATAAGATGATCAAAGGTGATGGTGGGAGAGATGGCTGGGTCATTGAGCAGGTGCCTGAAGGGACGTTGCAGCAGGTTCCCTGGGCTTTGATGTGGGCACAAAACCATGAACACGGCTAACCGGGCACAGAGAAAAACCCACACAGGCCCGGAAATCAGGACTGCACCAGCAGTGCCGTGGGCCCATAGGACGGTAGCAGCCACCCCGTGGCCCCGTCACAAGGCAGATCGCTGACAGGTTAGATTCTGTGATGTCGCCTACGGTGGAATGCAGCTGTGGGCTGCAGAGTTGAGAGGGGTGGGGTGGAGTTAGCCTGTCCTGAAGAAAAAGCCCATTTCGTAAGGTGACTAATCTCTCTCTGCCCCCTGCATGCACCTGGACCCATTGGAGACAGTACCATATCTCGGTGTTTCTCGTTGCCGACGACTTATCCATGTGTGGTTTAGTGTTTTTTACAGGGGATTGTAGATCCAGTTTTAATAGGTGAAACCAGGTCACCGTTTTAATACAGGAATTCTGGATTTATGATACATATACTTTGCATATTTCGATTACTTGTTTTATTTCTTGATTCTTGAGGAGGTTTTTGATTTGGGAGGAGGTCCTCATTTCTGGGAGTTGCAGGTTCCTGAAATAGAATTCCTGAGTAGGATGGCTGCTGGCCGCCGGTTGGGGCTTTGGCAGCACACTGTGACTTAGGGATCCCTGCTTGGCCGAGTGACTGGCAGCTGTTCAGGTGGACCAAAGCGCCTTGACCTGAGGCCCCCACACCCCGCTCTCCAGAAGCAGAAGCTGGGAGCTGGGCAGTGTCGGCTGGTGCCTTGTAGGCTCCCTCGTGTGCTGATGGCCTCGTCCCAGCTGGCCGTGGGAGGCCGGCCGCCAGGAGGTTTCAGTGTGCTCTCTAGGCTGAGAAGTGGCTCTTGGGGGTTTTCTCCTGCTCAGTCAGTGATCCAGGGACAGGCCCTATGTCACCCCCTTCTGGCCTCTGACTCGGGGACACCTGCCAGGCAGCTTGCCGTGCAGGGTGCTTGCGTTTCTAGCCACATTCACGCCCACCACTCCCTGCTTGTGCGGCCCTGTTTTGAACCCTATTACCTCTTACCTCCCTGTTCTCTTCTCGGACCAAAATTTGGGGATTGGAGCAGCTTTGTCAGATCAGACGCCACAGCCCAAGTGGATAAAGGATTTGGCAGAAGAGAACCAGCCAAGAAGAAAATCTTAAAACCAAACCTATAGTTTGGGTTTTTCTTTAGTTTCTCCCCCACCCCCTTTTTCCTTGCTCGGAGTTTACCTGGGGCAGGTTACCTGTTTGACTCGCCTTTTCTATGAAGCTTACATTTTCACGTGTCCCATTGATTTGCAAGGCTCAGTTGTACGCTGACGGAGAAAAAGCCTCTAGACATGTAAAGGTCCACACAGCCAGCTCTTCAGGTCACAGCCAAGCCGCCTGCCTGGGTCAGGAGGACAACGGGCTCAGCTCTCCTCACTCCAGACAGGGGTCCCCCTGCAGTCTCCTTCGCTGCCTTTCCCTAAGCACAGGCCCACCCAGCCTTCCTGCCCAGACCTGGGGGGCATCTCTGTGTGGCTTGGGGAGCACCTGCCCACAGAAAAGCTCCAATACCTGAGAAGGGGGGTATGGAGCCCAAGCCTGTCCTGCACAGTCCCCTCCCCAAGTGAGGCTTCAATCTGGGTACCCACCATGCTGTTTTCTGTGGCCCATTTTATAGAATGGGTTTTGATTTTGGCCGAGTAGATGGAAGTGGCCATCATGGGTGCCGCCTGGCCCACTGCCCAGTCCAACTCTACGTCCAAACGGAGCTGACAGGCCTCGGCTTGAATTCATTTCTGCTGGAACCTGTCTGTTCCCAGTGTCCAGTCACAGTGGGAAGGGGTCGGGGGATGAACCCCAGTTCCCCTGCAGTTGGCCCGGCGTCTGTAAGTAGCTGTGAGGACCACAGACCGAGCATTTGGCCCCAGAGAGTCTGCTTTTTGGTTCTTCAGTCCTGAGCTCACTGTCAAGACTGGCTGTTCTGTGACCTGCCTGCAAAGCTGGCCATTCCTTTGAATGGGGCTCGCCCTTCACCAGACTGGGGACATGACAGCCTGGACCTAACAGGAGCCAGGTGTTCTTGCTCTAAAACCTGGAGCAGGGGCGGAGACCCCACGTCGGGGATGGACGAGGCAGGCCCTGGTTACCATACGGCCATGGACGGGCTGTCTTGATTTTTAAAGACTCAGATCTTTTGGTTTGCAGGACTGCAAGGATTCGCGAAGAACATAGTTACTGCCTTGTTATCACCAGCCCCCCCCCCGGCCCCCCGGGCTTTTGCAGGGGCAAGCAGTGAGCATGGCTGTCAGGTGGGGGCTGCGGTCGTGTCCGCTTAGTGTCCTGCTGTCCTGTCGGGGTGGGTGGCCAGCCAGGGGTCCTGAGAGGAGTGCGAGTGTTCACCTGAAACTTGCCGTCAGTGCCTCTTCCTCCGGAACGGCCCTGTGGGGAGCATGTGCGCACACAGGAGCACCTGAGTGTGGGAGTGAATAGCTTTCCTTGGCTAATGCTTCCTAACTTCTGTTCCCTTCCATGATAAATGGAGGATTTAAAAGTACTCAGTGTGACTGGAGCTGAAGGTGTAATGTCTAGGATGATAAAGGCTGTTCAGAGCCACCGAATATATAAAGCTCCAAGTGCTTGGTCTTCCTGAGTCAAACCCCAGCGTAGACACACTGTTAGGGTACGAACCTACCCGTGTGCTGCCTGTTCGTCATGTCATCTGTGTTTAAAGGGATGGTCACTCGTCCCTGGCTCCTGCCCATACAGCTGTCTCATTTGTGCAGTTTGCTTGAAATGTGGGCGGGTCCGCAGGTTGAGCTGACGGAGGGCGAGGGGACCGCCAGCACCGCCCCCAAGGCCCAGCAGAGACCCTGCATGGTAATGGGGCCTCAGTGAACCGGGGCCAGCGCCAGGGGAGGAGAAGCGGTCACTTCTGGGCGGAGGAGTTCCCACCAGGCTTCTGAGAGCCGCTTTGTTGCGCTGTGTCAGGAGGGCCAGACTGTGCCATAATTGTTATCGAAAGGGGAAAACATGCCAGCCGCCCCTCTGCCCTGCCGGCCATTGTTCATTGACAGTTGACTGAGCAGTCTTTGTGGGAGTCGGGAGGTTGCCAGAAGCTGTGGATTCCTTCCTGCCGCTCCTGATTCCTGGTTTTCGACCGCCCGACCGCCTGTGTCTGTTGTCTCCATGCAAACCCTTTGTTCCCGAGGGCCACATTGCTGAGAAGCGATGCGGGAAGGACTGTGGAGCAGTTTGCTTTTGGTGTGCTTCCTGTCTCCCAGAGATGGCTGAAGAAACGATCATCTTGGTGCTAAGAGGCAACTGCCCTGTTTCTGTCTGTCCAGAGGCAAATCAAAACTTGACCGAACTGTGGAATAGGGTCCCCCCTCCCGCGGTGGCCAAATGTGAGAGACCAAACCAAGAGGCGTGCTGTGCCTGTCATTTAGGCCTGGGTGGACCAGGGATGCTTTACCCTGCGTGAATGTTTTCAGCAGAGATGGGACTTGCCTCTGGATGATGGCTGTGCCGAGCTGGGAAGAGGGGACTGCCCTCTCAGCTGTCTCCAGGCATCACGAGGTCCCCTGTGGGGATGCTGCTATTTCTACGATGCAAATTGCACATTTCCTAGATTTTGTATCTGTGGATTTGGATAAGGGAGGGGAACAGGGACAAACTGCTTGTACAATTTGAAATGGGCCGAAATGGTACTTCAGATCTTTTTGATTGTTCCTAAATAAAAGCGTAAATACACTTCACATCTGCTGACTTTATTTTGTGTGTGTGTGTGGGGGGGGGGTCAAAACCAAAAGAAGCTATAAAAACAGATTTATTCTGTGGGCAAGACCGACCTGAAACGTGGATGGATGAGGTCCGTTTTCCTCAGCCCACTTCAGAAAAGTTCCACCTTGCCCACGTCCTCTACTGCCCGGTCCACTCGAATGGCTTCTATGTGACAGAACTGCGAGGTTTCAGAAATTACACTAAATGCAAACTGAGTCAGCCCCGGAGTCATCAGGTATCTGGTGAGAAGACACTGGCCAGTCTTTTCCTTTCCTTTTCCTGTGAGAAAGGTATTCATGAGCAGAGCTTGTCCTTTGCTGTGGGGGGAGTGGGGAGTGGGGGGAGTAGGGGTCGGGGGAGAGGGGATATGCCTAAGGACCCAAGAAGAGGAAGCGGCTTTGTGCTGAGTCTAAAAAGCAAATCGTTGGGAGCTGGACGACAGGTGTGGAGCCTGAAGCCAATCAGCTGACGCCCCAGGTGGGTGCAGACCCAGGCAGTGGCTCCCTTAAGACAGCTGTGGACGGGGTTGGTGGTAGCCACCAGCAAGGGGTCGCTGTGTGGGCAGGGAACAGATGGACACCTGGGCACCAGTGCCCTAAGGGTTGTCAGAGGAGGACCCAGTGCGGAGGGTGGACCTGAAATGCGGAGGAAGCATCATCTTATTTTGTTCCATGAGCTAGTTTGGTGGGATAACCTGTTACGACTTACAGTTGTTTTTACCTCAACAGAACTGACATGGTGAGACATGATGCCTCAAGTTGAAAGACAAGTTTCTAGCCCCAGGCCCAGCCTTCAGGATATGTCTCATCAGGAGGGGAGACCATGTCCTCTCTGCTGGTGGCCGCAGGTCCTCATCCGTGAGTGTCCTCCACTGAGGTCAGAAACTGCTCCCGCCTTCTCTCCACGCGGCGGCCTTCACAGCGAGGGGCTCCTGAGTCCTGTGATCAGGCTGCAGCTGCTGACCGTGGAGGAGTGCTGTGCGTGCAAACGTCGCTGTGTGAGTCAAGACCGGCCACTTTGAACCCGCTCTCCTCGTCCCTGGTCTGCCAGCCAGCCAGATGCAGAGGGCCCTGCATGGGAGCCAGGCCACCTCCCCTGGTTCCAATGACTTCCTGTCCTGGCTCTGCTTTTGGCTCCATCTGCCCAAACTGCCCCCCAAGCACCACTGTTTTTCAGAAGCTTCCCAGGTGGTACGTGACCCAGTGGGTGGAGGGCAGCCAGCCCCAGCTGTCACAGAGTGCATGGTGCCAGGCGGGTAACCACACGCCGTGGGCTAAGACACGACCTTGCATCTCAAGTGAGGGCCTCCTGGGTGGGTCAGGATCGTCAGGGCTGGTGGAATTTAAAGTGTGTGTTTGACTGAGGGCTGTCATGTTTCCTAGTATGGAGGAAGGACCGTCGCAAAGAGCTGTCGGCGTGCCACAGGGACTGCTGTGCCTCCCCAGGACATGCTCTGCAAAGACACGTGTTCAGGAAAGAGGTATGCCACGATAGAAATTAAAGTCACGTCAGCAGGGATGTCACAGGATGTCCCCTGGCCACAAGAACCTAGAGTGGGAAAACGTGGATCAGGGGAGTCTAGGCTAATTCCCAGCCACCTTCTTGTCTGAGGGAGAGGCCCACCCTCATCTGAGCAGAACTGTGGAGCCCTGGGAGCCACAAGCAGGCACCTGAGCAGTGGCTGTTTGATACTGGCTGTTGTACCTAGTTCAGTGGGTAACAGGAAATATTTTAAATGATGACCCTAGTCCACCAAGTGCGTGGTGCTGAGGGGCCCAGTGACCCAGAATGAACTTGGGAAATGTGACCTTTGATTTCTCATGTAGGTGAGGGACGCTCTAAACCTACAACTCTAAGTCTGCCTTGGGCTTGTCTCAAACAGCCTCGGTCTGAAGCCACCAGCCATGCTTTGGTATGTGCATCATCGCACCAGGAGTGTTCTGTTACCGTCTTAGGATCCGGCCGATTACACTTACCTGCGTATCTTCAATGACATCTGATCTCAGGCTCCCTGGGATGGCTTTTTATGCCTGACCCCACCCACCCATCCATCAGGCAGTCACTCTGTATGGCATCACTTTTGATCCACACCAGCACGGACCACTATGAAAAAAGCCACAGGAAGGGAAGGGCCTTGTCCCCCATGTTCTGGGCAGAGATTTTGGTAGTAAGCTAAAGGCTCCCTCTGGGTTTTCTGAAAGGTTTCTGTGAAGTTGGGGAAGGGGCTCTGACTGCTTCCGCTCACCCCCGTAGCTGGGGCCATGGAAGCCTGGGTTTGCTCCCTGACAGGCCACACTCTCCAGCCACACCCTCAGGGGACAGGCTGGGGGACAGTGTGGCCTCACACCTCCTCATAGCCTGGAGGAGGGAAGATCTGCTTGGCCTGGCAAGTTACCAGAACTGCTCAGCTGCTTCTAGTGCAGAACCACCACCAGGCGACTGTCCTTAGGTAACAAGGCTCCACACAGCAGGCTTTCCTGAGCCCACAAAAGCACACACAAGTTAAAGGAACAGGGACACAAGGACCATTTATTTGGCGGTCAGATCTTCAGGGGGCAGCAGACCTAGCAAGTGGCCAGGCTGACCGTGAGCCTGGACCTGGGCGCTGGGTTTGCGTGTGCTGAATGCTGGCTGTGTTGTGTGCCCACGGCCTGTCCTCAGAGGCGGGGCTGCCTTGCCACCCTTCCCCTCTCTTTCCTGGACCTTTTTACCCTCTGGACAGAAACTGCCGTAAGCACAGCAGCTTCTTCCTTCAGCAGCTGGCTGCCTGTCCGTCCCCCCACCTACGCACAAAGCAGGCAACTCCTTAAGCCCTGCTCGATTGCCTCGGGAAAGCAAAGCGAGTCTTCTTTGCCTTAAAACCCCCATCTCACCAGAATAGGCTTTGCAATTTCTTCTCCCCCCACCCCATTCCTGATGGTGCCCTGAACCCCGAGACGAACCCCCCGCCCTCCTCTCAGTCACTGCTCCAAGGCTGCCCCTCCAAGGGGCAGGAGCGAGAGGAGGTGCTCAGTTCTAACACTAGTGAGAAGAAAAATACTGCTGCTGCTTTTTAAAAGTCCTTTTTAGAAGGAAAGCTTTTCTAATAAAATTTAAAATTTTTAATATTTAAATTATAAACCAAACGCTGGCGACCTTATATAGACATGTTTGCTATGGACAAATTAAGATTGTGAGGTCATACTTTCAGATACAACTTCAGAATTCGTTTAAATAAATCAATACACTGCCTCGGAAATTGTATGATTTCCTTCAGTTTACAATTCATGATATGGAAAGTTTAATATAATGTTAAATAATTTACCATCTACCCTAAAAGTAAGCTATAGAAAACTGAATCACTATTAGGACCGAGTAACAACAAGGCTTTTAACGGCTCAGTGGTTTTTCTTAAGAGTATATATAAATCTTGAAAAGGTAACACTGTTAGCTGAGCTGAAAATCCATAAAAATAACAGTTCCGCCACAGTGCACAGATGAATTCTTTCGTTTGCTTCCCGACCCCCTCACCAAGCAGCTTTCAGGTTAGAAATGGAAGACACAGAAAATCATACATCCTACATGAAATAATGAAGATAGTGAGAAACAGAGTGTGCAAAAAAGAAACTTTAAAATTCCATACTCCAACATTGTGTATGTCTAGTCATAGGAGTTTCGGATGGGTTAATACTTGGATCGCCTCAGACAGGGGCCTCTTGCAGTGCTGTCCGCAGTCTCAGATCCCAGGGCTCCACGGCAACAGGTGGAGTGGTCTCCGGTCCGAAAGAGGTGGGCGCGGAGCTGGTCGGCCGGGGCCTCTGACGTGTGCGCAGGAGTTTCCTGAATGCGCTGGGCCAAGTCCCCGGCTCAGCCTCGGCGACTCGTTCCTCCATTCCGGCCCTGATCACCCTGACGAAGGCCTCAGGGTCCGTTGCTGCCACATTTCGGTGGCACACCCTTGCTGGTGGCGCATGTCCACCCTGGTGAGCAGGTCCTCCGGGCTCACATCCAGGGCTCTCGCCGTGGGCAGTGGCGGGTGGCATAGCCCAGTGGTGCGGCGCACCCAGCTCAGGGCCCTTGTGCTTCCACAGCACTGAGGCGCTGCTGTGGCTCCGGGACTCGATGCCACCATCCCTGCTTCAGGCGGTGCCCTGGGGCTCAGTCTCCTCCGCTGGCCCCTCGCAGGGCGACCCTCCATGGCTTCCGATGCCCAATACTGCTATTTTAAACCTGACCCCCTGTATCGTTCAGGCTGGGCAGTGCGCCCTTGTGCTGTGTCCTCCGCTGGCAGGCCGTCCGCCACCGCTCTGGCTCCAGGGCCAAAGCGGGAGGGAGGGCGTCGGCCCGCCCACCTTGCCCAGCTGTGGTTTTAAAGCTGCAGGACAGTGTAAACTTGGTTCCCCGGGCCCAGCAAGGCCGCTCCTCCTCCTCCATTCTCAGGAATGTCAACGGCTCCTCAGAGCCTCCTGTGCTGCTGGCTCAGGCAGCCTCTCGCAGGGGGCTGCGGCCGTGGTCCTGGCCCCACTAGATGGAAGGACCCACCTCCAGGAGTCAGGTCAGGTGTGTGTGCTTAATGCGAGACACAGTACAGGTTTGCCTTCACCGTGCTGGGGCACGGAGCCCCACAGTATTACTCTCATTAATGGCTTGGTTTTTGTCTAGCAGTTACCGCTGGAATCCAGGCTCCAGGCTGCGAGACCCGGAAGGCTGCCGTGGCAAGCCGCTTCCAGAGAACCCAGTTCACGGCATTCCGAGAGGCGTGCAGCAGCTGCTGCTCCCACCGAGGCTGAGGCACAACTAGAGGCGGTTGTCTCCGTTGACCCGAGTCCTTCGTGGGGCCCTGGACAGAAGGGATGCGTGTCTTTACCCGCAAAAGACGGCTTGCAGCCCCGTGGGACAGCCCAGAGCCAGACAATTGTAACTCCTGGGCCACTCCTCCCCGTCTGCCCAGAACCCCTCCAAGCTGCACACTCGCCCCTCCTCTCCATCCCCTCACCTTCGCTCCCGACTGTCAAAATGGTCCGCGAGATGCTCCTGGGAGATGCGAAAATCCTCAAACGGCTGCTGGTAGCGGGCTTCAAAGGAGCCTTCCCGGGCCCGGCCATGGAACAGCTGGCCCGAGGCCTCGGAGCCCCGCTCACGCAGGGACACACCGCTGAAGGGACTGAGGTCGCCATTCTCCTGCTTCAACGAGGACAAGTGCATGAGGTCAGGGCCTCCCCACACCTCGTGAGGCTGCAGTAGTCCCCACCCTGCCCGCTGCCGTTACCTTGGTAAAGAAAATGTCTATCTTGACCAGCAGGGAGGCCAACTCCAAGTCCTCACTATAGTTGTTCTTCAAAGGCACTGCTCTGTACCCTAGAAGAGGAAAGCCTGGCCCTCAGCCCAGGCGGGAGCCGAGCGAGGGCCCCCATCATGGGGCACTGTCCCCGGGAAGGGTACTCACCTGTCTTGAGGCCTGTCACCGGGAAGGTAGCCTGAGCCAGGAAGTTCTGGTCACTAAACATGTCCTCTTCATAAACCACAAAGCGCAGGAAGGCGAATTCAGGGTTACTGATCTGGAAGTGGAAGGGCTTGGCCGGCCACACAGGGTTCAGGCCATTGTCCACTGCGAAAGCAAGGGCAAAAGGCCTCAGGCCACCGCGCGAGAAGGTGGGGGTCATGGGTGCAGAGGCCTTGAGTGCCTCTGGGAAGATGAGGACCGAGAGTGGGGAAGGCAGGCTCACCCACAAACTCCGTCTTCTGCTTGGTGCTGTCATACTCGGCTCCTGCCACCTCAATCTCCACAAAGGGACACACAATGCCTCGGCCATTCTTGGGCAGATGCCGGGCTCCCAGCACCTGTGAGGCAAGCCGAGGTGAGGGGCTGTCCCTCCTGCTCCCGCCAAGTCCCCACTATGCAGTGGAGGCTGTGCGCCCTCTGCTGGGCCCCAGGCACACTGCTTATGTCCCTAGGAGCAGCTGCTGCCAGCAAAAATTCTTTTGAAGACTCAGCTTTAGCCAAAATTTTCATGTGAGACTTTGTAATCCGCTTCACATTAAATCCATGTCGGTATTAACATGGAAGTCTTTTAAATTACTTGCCCCTAGGAAATGAAACAACAATCTCCTCTCTCGGAAGCAGACGCTCACCCCATGCTGTCCTCACTCCTCCTCCAAGACCCTGCTCGGGCCCCACACCCCCTGAACCCCAGAGCACCAGGCCGATGTCCCAGCTTCTCGCCACAGAGCACAGGGGTGCTCGAGGGGCTGGGGCAGTTCCTCTCGCTCTAGCCCCGTTCTCCTAAGTGCTGTCGAGCTGGTCCTGGTGGACGAGCCCCTGGCCCACCACTGGCATTAGCTTCCTGCCTGTGTGCTGTGTGCTCCTCCCAAGCGGTGGCCACCTGCGGCCTGGCCTCACTGGGCAGCCTGAGTCCTCAGTGCTGAGTATCAGCCATGTGTAGCCCATCTGCCTGTGCCACTCAGAGCCCAGCCCACAGAGGAGGCTCCGAGCTGCCTTTCCGCCTCCGCGGACAGCTGTCTTCCTCCAGCTCAAGGACAGTCCACGGCCCCTTCCCCATCCAGTCTTATAAACCGCACTCGCTCCTTGACTCCCAAACTGAGCCCCAGGGGCCCCCCTTCCCACCCTGCAGCCCACCTCAATGCAGATGGCGCATGGCTCCAGCCCACGGAGGCTGCTCTTGTCAAAGGGGTCAAAGGCCTCGTCCCGCATGGTGCTGGGCTGCAGCACGTAGCCGCAGTGCCCACCGGTCATGAAGAGGGCCTGGTTCATCTGCATAGGCTTATCTGCAAGAGCCAGGGGACAGGCCTCCAGCCCCATGCCCAGGGCTGCCCCGCCCCACAGGGCACCGTCCCACAGGGCACCGCCTCACCTGGGGTCTGGAAGTTGAGGGCGACCAGCTGACTGCCACAGATCCACATGGGCAAGGGGTCATAATTGGAGGAGTCCAGCCGCTGGCCCTTGGGGTAGATGCGCGAGAGCTGCAGCCGGTTGTACTGGAGGAACTTCTTGCCTTTGGCCTTGTTCACGTATTTCTCAGCCTTGGTCTCCGGGAAGGACGACATGTCACGGTAGCAGGCACGTTCTGTGCCAATCTCTGGGCCAAACAGAGAGAGCACTTACAGAGCGCTCCTACCCAGGCAGTGCAGGGGGCCGGCTCCCCAACCCCCACATTCAGGGACACACACTTCCCTTGCACCCGCCGTGGGGGGCCCCCCGCGCACACGCCCCCCGCGCCGGGCCTTGGTCCTTACTCTCTTCATCAAAGGGAACAGGCCGGCAGTAGACGACAAGCTCCGAGAGCTCCAGGGCGATCTTCTTCCTCCGCTCCATCATCTTCCCCTCCGTGAGCTGGTGACACACACACAGGTCCCGCAGCCCCAGGCTGGAGCCCCACCCAGGAGAAGGCCGCTCCTGCTGGCCTTGGGCAGCCCCCTTCCCCTGACCTTCCAGACCCCACGGGACAGGAACAGAGCCCTGTACCCTCGGCCTCACCCAGACCCTTCCTCTTCTCTGCCCAAGGACAAACTCGCCCTCCAAGACTCTCAGAGGCTGGGGCGCTTACCACCCCCCAATGCCCAGTGACCGCTCAGGGACCTGGTGTTGGCTGCACTACTGAGTGACGGGTTTGTGACCACTCAGTAGCCAGCCTCCCTCAGGCAAAAAGGCCACCTCCTGGTTTCCCTGTGACTTCACTGGGGCCTCGGGCCTCTGTACCCTAAAGACCACCCTTCCACCACCCTGGCCTACAAGCCTCACCGTCTCAGCTCCCGCGTGCCAATGCAACCATCTACTTGCCACGCCACGTCTCAGCAAGAGGTCCACTCAAAAGTACCCCCTCCTGTCCTCTTAGCCCCTTCCATCAGGGGCTCCTGGTACCCTCAGTCTTTCTTCCCTTTTCAGCCTCGACCCTGGCATCCATCCCTTCAACCACCTGGTCTGCCAGTACCTTGTCCTTCCTTCCAGGCCACAGCTCTGGTGAAACCCTCAGCACCTGTCCCTTCTCTGCTTGGCTCACAGGTGCCCACTCTCCAAACAGCTACCGGTCTGTTCTAGAGCCCCAATGACGGGGGGGAACTGCTACCAAGCAGAAGTCCCCTACCCTTGTGACTACGTCCCCCTCTTGGTCCCCAGGCTCAGGGGAAGGGGCCTCCCGGCTCCAGGAGGCTGGTGCTACCCCCAGCCTGGGTTCCATCTCCCACCTCCCACTGGCTCCTTCGGTTGCCGGCACTAACGCTTCCTCGAATCCCGGCCCTGCGTGCCCTCCTCTGTCCCCGACAGCCAGGTCCTACAGAGCTTGGACATGCCACTCCCCGATGCCCGCTGCCATCCAACCCCAGCCACGACACTGACATGGCTCTCGGTAGTATCACCAGGGCCATGTGCTGTTTCTAACATCCACCTACTCACTCACTGAGTCTGTGTCCCCTCTCCAGCCCTGCACACACCAGACCCCAGCTGCCCCCAGGCTCCGCTTCACCCCTCCTGAGCTTCTGGGCTCCCGCGCCTGCTTCCAGCCCGAGACTTCCCCTCTTCGCTCTGCTCTGTTATGTACCCAGCCGCACACTGAGCAGACCCACACATATCTCAACGCATCCCAAACATGCCACATCTCCGCCTACGTGTCTGTCTCTTCCGGGTCTCTGCCTGGAGGCGGGGGCTGGAGGCCTCGGCCACCGACAGGCTCACACACTGCCCCCCAGCACCCCTGAGGGCTCCAGCAGGTTCTCACCCTGGCGTCTGCAGTCTGGGCCACTTCACGGATCTTTTTCACCCAGTCCTGCAGCTCTTCCTGTGAGTCAGCGGCGACATCCAGGGACCACTGCGCCACCGACGCCATGCTGATGGAGAAGACGAAGAGCCGGTTGTTCTTGCCCTCGGGACGGATGGCTGGGGGGCGAGAGCGGGCGAGAGCTAGAACATACATCGCTAGTCCCTGGCACCAGCTGCACTAAGTTCTCCTCCCAACTCCGCCCCACACCCTGGAGGGAGCTGGCTGCTCTGCCAGGCCCATTTTACAGCTGAGGATGCTGCCACTCAGCAACAAGTCCCTGCCAGGAGGCACAGGCCAGGGCTCGAGCCTGGCACCCACATCCAAGCCTGTCACACACACCCTGTGCCCCAAGCCAGGGCTGTGGATGTCAGCTAGCCATCAGCATCCCCCACGATGCCTGACCCAGGTGAGCACGCAGGGTCAGAGCTGAAGGTGTCGGGGGGTGTCTGAGGATGGCGAGAGCTAGACTGAAGGCAGCCTCTGGGGTCCAGCCAGCGGCCTCCCCCTAGGAGCATGGAGAGCGCCACAAAGGAGAGCCTGACCCTAAGGAACAGTGGGCAAGAGAAAGGGATGGGGACTCACCAATCTGACAAGCTGGCACATCCAAGACCCCCCGCAGCAAGTCCCCCAGGGGGCTGTTTTCATCCAAGTGCTGTGGGAAACAAAGCCCACGGGCTCGTCAGCATGTCTCCTGTCCACACGCGTGTGAGGGACGGTCTGTGTGCAGGTATATCTTACAAGTGTGCACAGGACTACACAAACGTGGCACGTGTATGGTGGAGACCACAGACACCTGGGGTGTGACGATCACACGTGCTGGGTGGCTGTACACGCACAGGCACACCTGACAGTGATGGGTGTGTGTACACGAGAGAATCGGGATGGAAAGCCTGACCCGCCAACGTGGGTCTGCTCTCACCTCCCTCTCGGGCTCCAGGGCTGCAGGGCTGACCAGCTCTTCCACGTAGTTTGATGGGAACCACAGCTGCTTCTTCCCACCATAGTCTCCCCGCCACCTGTGGAAGTCACACTCACAGGGTGCTGACCCCAGCAACCACTCCAAACTCCCATGAGGAGGGTAGCCTTTGTCAGGGGCCCCCAAGCCAGGCCAAAGCAGTTTCTGCTGGTCCTCACATGGGACAGACGCTGCTCACACATCCAACACTGGGGACGCACAGGGCGCTGGGACTCACGGAGCCCCTGCTGGAGCCCCAGATGCCAGCCCACCCACCACAGCCCTCTGGCCTGAGAACCCGGCTCACCAGCCTCCATCCTGCTTCTCCACGTTCTGGATGATGGCGCTTTTGGTAAAAGTCAGCTCGTCATCTCTCTGGGCCTTGTAGTCAAAGAGGGCTTTGACAGCACACTGCAGAGAGAAGCCCCAGTGAGGGCCCAGTCCCTCCTGCCACGCCCCTGACCTGGGGCCTCACATGTGCGCACACGGGGCTTCCCACCAGGGCTCAGGTGACAGCGCCCCGTTCTAGTTACAGTCCTCGCCGCTGCCCTGCAGGAGGGGCCGGGACAGATGTGACTGGGGACAGAGCCAAGCCTCTACCAGGGAAGTGCCTCAGGGTCTGGGTGGAACCTTGCAAGCCGGGAAGGGGGTGCCTGCGGTGCCCTGATTGCCTCCCCTGGACCTGGCAGCCTGTAGGCATGGCTGGGACCCCATCATTCCTCATGTGGAAAGAGGAGAAGGAACTTTCTCTCAGATTCCTTGGCTGCTGAGGGTAAGGGGTGAGGAACAGAGCACAGCTCCTTACCCCCTACCAGCGGTTCTCAACCTGTGTGTCGCGACCCCTTTGGGGGTCGAACGACCCTTTCACAGGGATCGCCTAAGACCATCAGAAAACAAAAAGATACTTAATTACGATTCATAGCAGTAGTAAAATTACAGTTATAGAGTAGCAACGAAAATAATTTTATGGTTGGGGGTCACCACAACATGAGGAACTGTGTTAAGGGGTCGCAGCATTAGGAAGGTTGAGAACCGCTGCTTTAGACGAAGAGGCAAAAAGAGGAAACTCCTGTCTGACAGATCTCCATGAGGTGAGGGAGTGAGTGGCAAAGACACTTTTTTGGCAAGCGTGCCCCACCCCAGCCCGGCCCTGCTGCTGCCCAAGGAGGAAACGGGGTTACCCTGGGGAGCAGTCTGAAGGGTCAGTGCTGACCCCAGGGACGGGCTGAGCCAGGGGTCGGACCTGAGACAGCTGCGGTCACACACCAACCACATGCTTCTCACAACCTCAGGTCTCGGAAAACCACAAACACCACTTCTCCACAAAGACCACAGATGGGCCCCAAGCAGCTGCGGACCCTCCCCAGCTCCTGTGCCGAGGCTGCAGGCTGTACCTTGAAAGTCGGCATAGGGTTTGCCTCCACATAGAAGCCAGGGTTGCGTCCCTCATACAGGGCCCCGTAGTCAGGCTCCTGGAAACGGGACAGAAAGCGATGTGTTAATACCCCGAGATGAAAGCAGTGCTGGCTTCCATGTGTCCCCTTTCCCCAGTGCAGCTGGCCAGCAAGTTTGCCCCCATCACTGGCACCCGGTCCACCGCCGTCCCCCTACCTCAGCAGGATGGCTATAGGCAACTGGCTTCGCCCCTTCCTCTCTCCATGGTTTTGGCCTTGAGGGCCACCCCATGATTCTACAATCTCCCAGGTCCTAAAGGCCCACACTGGCCCTGTGATCTCTGCAGCACAGCCCCCGCAGAAACCCCTACTCAGTGCTCGTGTTCAGTGGCTCCCTCGTGCACCGCTGAGCCCATCCCCCAGGCCCTAGCGGATGACAGTCCTCCCTGGCCACCATGTCCACTGATGACAAGCGTCTCAAATGGATCTCCCATCCCAGACTCCTCCCTTCCGTCCAAAGCCACGATCCTGGCCCAGAGCTCTCCGCACTAGCTGCGCCATCAGTCCTGCCTTCTTCTCACTGGTCTCGCCCCTGTAGCTCTGCCCTCTACAGCCCCACTTCTGCAGCCTCTCCTGCCCCGGGGACAGTCCAGGCCACGCCCGCTGGGTGAGCCTCTCCCTGTGTGGGCTCCAGGACCACCTCACCCCACCTTGGCTCACGGGTGACCTCTTCACCTGCCAACTCAAGCCTGTCCTTACAGACACGACTCAGATGTCACGCCCTCTAGGCCGCCTCCTGGCACCCACACCACAGCTCCCAGGGGCTGAGTGGCCCTCCCAGCAGCTCCTACAACAGCCAGTTCTCTCTGTCCCATCCACCTGGATTATCCCATGGCCAGCAGACCCTGGGCCTGCCCGGCAGCTGGCCCCGGAGTGTGTGGAGGGTGACACCGGCGTCCCCGCCCCAGCCCCCCCCAGCGGCCCTCACAGCTGTGCCGATCTTCTCCAGCGCCTCCTCGTTGATGGGGTAGCGCAGCTTCATCTTGCGGTACAGCGGATGCTTCTCGTAGTAGCTGATGAGGTCGACGAGGCTGTCAAACTCTGAGTTGCCCAGCATCACCGTCTGGCCCTCCTGCTGGACGCGGCAATGCTTGATCTTGCCCTCAGCCCTTGACAAAGAGCAGTCACACAGGTCAGGGCAGCCCAGACCCGCGTGCAGCCCAGCGCCACCACCAGCACCCCAGGGCCACACTCCTCACCGGAAGGAAATGGCGTAGGAGTTGGGCTCGTTGCGTTTCCGCACCAGGAAGGCCCCATCGCGGGGGACACGCATCAGCATGTGCTCGGCCTGCGCCCTGGTCAGGCTGGCGTGGTACCACCTGAGGACCGGCAGAGTCAGTCCCCGCCATCGCCACCGGGCCCCGTCCCTGTCCCCACTCCGGCTCCAGCCCCGGTCTCACTCTTTGCTCTCGTGGGCATTGGTCTGCGGGACGGGCTCCGAGAGGCGCATCTCAAATTCGTTGCAGCGCAGGGGCACCTGCTGGTAGTGTGTGATGAGGTCATAGAGTGAGTCAAAGACGAGGTTGTCTGTCAAGAAGAACTTGGGGGTCCCGGCATCTTGCCGGGAGTGGATCCGGCAGTGCTGGACTTTCCCGTTCCGCCTGGGGGAAGAGGGCGAGGCAGTGAGAAGCAGGCCTGGGTCCTGAACACCACGCTCCACCCAAGCAAGGCACCAAGTCTCCAAGAGGGAGGCGGACCTCCTCAGGAGCCCAGGTGCAGGGCTGCCCTGCAGGAGGGGCCACACCGACCAAAGCGCTGTGTGTGAGTACGCACGTGAGCATACAAGTCATAAAACGACGTTTCACCTGAAGGCCTAGAACAAAAGGCAAACCGGGCCACAGCTACCTCTGGGGGCGCCGTATGCACACGCACAGGCACTGGGAGTGGATTACCAGAAAGAGAGGGTGTAGTCGCCCACGAAGGTCTCGCTTTCGCGCACCAGGAAGGAGCCGTCGGGGGCCCCCGTCTCGATGCAGTACTCGGTGAGCAGGCGCTCGGCAATGTGCCGCCCGTCCCGTCCTGCCCCGAGCTTCCCGTGGAACCACTTCTCGTTGGAGTGCAGCTCTGTGCTGCCACTGGCCTGAGAGGGGCGATGACGGCAGAAACACTCAGTGACAGAGCCCAGCCCGGCTCCCAGCCCTGGGCCAGGGGCCCCCTCACCTCTTTGGGCTCTTCCTCGTCCTCGTTGCCCTGGTCACTGCTGGTCTCCTCGGAGTAGTAGATCTTGCTGCTGGTCAGAACGAAGTAGTGGGGGTACCACTCCTAGAAGACCAAAGCGGGGCCTGTCAAAGAGCTCTCCCACCCACCACTCTGCCCCCTGCCCAGTCCGGCCCGGCCCTCACATGGTTCACGGGATCCTCTAGGTAGAGGATGCCATTCTTGATAGAGTTGCTGATGTCGTTCTCAGAGTACATCACGGACGCAGGCACCTCCTCATAGGCACTGCCCTCAGCCAGCTTCTTGTGCTGTGGGGGGAAGGCCAGACATGGCAGTGCCAGCCGCAGTCCCAGAGTCCCAGCGCTGGGAAGTGGGGCCCAGCTCACCGCCCACCTTGATAAGGATTTTCTTCTTGAGCTGGTTGGGGGACGGGAGACCGTCGGCAACGATGTCCACGGGCTTGGTGAGGAGTGTGTCTCCCAGCACCTTCTTGAAGTACTGGGCCATGTTCCTCTGCTGGGCAATGCTGCAGTGGTCCTCGATGGACAGGATGACCGGGTACCTGCAGGGCAGGGGACAGTGTGGAGGCACAGACCCTATGGTTCTGTGGGGTCAAGACCCCATCCAAACAGCCCCTCAGAGTGAGGTATCAGGATACCAGAGCCTGGGGTCCTGTCTACAGGGGAGCTGTCCCACAGAGGGGGTGGGCCCTGGCCACCGGAAGGGGCTCCTGTGGGGACAGCAGAGACAAAGGAGCGGCACTGCTGCCGATGGGAGACCTGGAGTTGGTCCCATCTCCGAGGCTGCCCCAGCAGTGCAAGACAGACATCCCACATCAGAGAGGTCAGGAAAGAGAAGCAGCCTCTCAATTCAGCTACTGGGGGGCCCCTGGTGATCCCTTCAGTGAGGCGGGAGACTAGTGAGCCCAGGTGAGGGGTGAGGAGTTGTACAGTGGGACCCAGGACACAGACAATTCTCTGGGCTGTGAAGGGAAAGGGGTGGGCAGGGCCATGGACTACAGAGGTCAGAGAGGGTCACAGAAGTATTTTTTTGAGGACGGGAAGATCGTGACTGTATTCTACAAGGTAAAGAGAAGGACCCATAAAGAGGGGGGGCCAAGGATGCAGGAAAGAGAGTAACTTGAGAAGCAATGGCTCAAGCAAGCAGGAGGGGAGGATGGACAAAGACGAAACAGGTGGAACGGGGACAGGGCATGTGAAGGGACCTTCTGCCTTCTGTCATAGGAGCTGGCGCCAAGCCAACCCTGGGCCCTCCACCCCACCCCCACTCACTCTGAGGCCACAAAAGCATGCTCCTTGATGGTGTGCAGGACATCTGAGAACTTGATCTTGGTGGTAAGGGTGTGTCCATGGTAAATGACCGGCATCCCGTCCGGGCCATCCCAGCAGTCCACTGGGGAACACACGCACGGTCAGGCAGGACGGCCAGCCTCCCACTGCCCCTCCCCCAGCCCGGCCCCAACGCACACTCAATGCAGCGACAGCCCATGCGCAGGCAGCGAGCATAGGCTTCCAGGGAGGACTCGCTGGAGAACTGGTCCCCGGTCAGGTACCTGGACGGGGAAGGAAGGCGGGGTGGTCAGCCGGCCCCCACACCCCCACGGTCGGGGTGGGCGTGGCCAAGGGAGCAGCTCACGTGTTGTGTGAGGAGGAGATCCAGTAGTGGGAGAGCGGATTGTTCATGGTGTCCGGGCACACCGTGTCCAGCTGCGACTTCCACACACTGTTCTCTTTGGAGAACAGGAAGGTGACAAACTGCCCAGAAACGGATGCAGAAGGAAAGGGAACGTGAGCCCCCTGCCCCGGCATGGGGGTGGTGGGGAGGAGAGGGCAGGGGGCTCCGGCTCACCTGGGTGGGCGAGGTAAACTATGGGGGGACAGGGTGGCGTCCTTAAGGCAAATCTGGGAACCAGGTGGGGCTCTGGTCAGAAAGGGTGAAAGGCAGGGCTCACCTCATCCAAGAAGAAGTATGGCTCCTCGATTTCTCGCAAGGGGTCTCGGAGGAAGCTGAGCATGAATTCCTGCACCTGGAGCCGGTCAACAGCCCACAGCTCCTGAAGCGGGTGGCAGAGTGGAGGCAGGTGAGAGGCTCCAGTCAGTGACGGGCCAGCCCCCCTCAGCCAGGCACCCTGGCCCAGTCCCAGCTCAGCCATACCCCCTGGTACTCGAGGAGAAACTGCTGGAACATAGGAAGAGACACTCGGCAGAGCTCTGGCCGCTCCCCCGGCCTGCAGGAGAGAAGGGAAGTGCCTGGCGGCCAGCTGGCTAGCATGGTCCACAGACAATGAGGGGCCCCTTAGCAGGCAGAGCCCAGCTTCCGGCCAGCACAGCTGCCCAGAGCGCTCCAGCACGGCTCCCCGCCTCCCTCTGCCTCCCACCTGCACAGGGCATCACCCCATGGGGAACCCCACCTCCCCACTTCAAAGCAAACCTCAGGGCAGTGGTTTCCAAGAAGGGGAGATCCATCTGCAGGAGACAGAACCTGGTCAGGGCGAGAGCCCCTGAGGTCACATGGGAAAGGGACTCTCAGGAAGAAAGGCGGGGCAACGGATGGGGGCAGGCCTCAAGAGCAGAAGAGCTGGAGAAAGAGCACCCCAAAGCCCCCAAGCAGGGCAGCAGGGCTGAGGCAAGCAGGGCTGGGGCGGGAGAGCGGGGGCAAGGGCCGTGGGAGGATGGGCGGCTCATGCACCGTCTTCTGGGCGCTGTACATGAGGTTGCGGTACAGCTGAGCAAACTGCCCATAGGTGATGTCACTGCTGCGCTGCTCCAGGTCCTGCAAGGCACACGGCAGGACGCTGGTCAGGCCCAGCAGCCGGGGCTCCTGGCCTCGCCTGCCCCGCCCACAGACAGCCCAGGAGGCCCTTACTGTTAGCCGCTCTCGGAGGAAACGCATGTTGGGGACCCGGTAGTTGACCTGGGACAGCATGTTCTTCAGGTCCTTGGCTGATATACTGAGGAGACAGGGACATTCCCAGTAGCCTCACACAACCTCTCCTGACCTCTAACCCACAGGCTAAGTCCACCCGGGGCTGGACAGGTAAACAAGACTACTCTGGGATCTGAGGGCAAGGCTGGCTAACAGCCCTGGGGTAACCAGGAGCAGCCCCTTCTTTTCTCTGGGCCTCAGTTTCCTCATCTGAGCAAAGAAAAACCCATGATTCTGGCAAGGAAGGAGTGATCAGGCTTAATAAATAGGGTCAGACGTGGCGGAGGGGAGCCCATCTCAGGCCCTCCCTGCACCAGCACTCAGCACTCAGCACTGCTCAGGCCCACAGCCCTGGCCCCTCAGCCCTCCTCTGTGGCGACTGGCCCATCTGCTGTTCCTGCAGGGCTCACTCACAAGCTCTCTGTGGGGGCAGCTCTGCAGAGATTGTACCCACTGCCCCTGGGATGCCGGGAGTTCAGACCTCAGCATGGGCCCTGGGGGCTGAGGGGGAAGGCCACTCTCAGCCAAATACCACTCCTGGAGTCTGACAAGGAAGCGTCGTCCCCTGCCCTTCGGGGGTGCCCTGCCCAGGATGTGGGGCTAGGGGACACTGCTGGGCCTAGCAACAGGATGGAAAAAACGGAGGGAAAGGCTTTCTCCCGTGGAAGGTGGTGCCAAGGAAGGGAGGGTAGGAGCCTACCCACGCCCCCACCCCCCAACAGCCTGTACCCAGCATCCAAGCAGCCCAGAATCAGCCGCTGGCCCACTCCCCCTTTCTCGCTGCACCCACCCACAGGTGATCTCCAGCTTCATGGCCTTTTGTATCATCTGAAAGCTCCCAGGTAACATCTCCACCCCAGCTTCTCCCCTAAACTCGACCTACCCACCCGCCTACTCAATGTATGTCTCCACCTGGACCTCTAAGGGCATCATAAAACTTAACATATTCCAAATGAACCCCCAAATGTACAGTCAACGGCAGCTCCACCTTTCGATGCTCAAGCCAAAAAGTGGTCATCCTGGACTCCTCTCCTTCGCTCACACCCCAAAATCAATCTGTTGGAAATTCTACTGGGCTCTGTCTTTGAAATATAGTATAGCCAAAGTCCGACACTTCCTACCCCCGCCACCCTGAGCCAAGCCTCCTCATCGCCCACCTGGAGTGCTGAAGTTACTTCTTAACTGAGCCCTCTGGGTCTGCTCAGCCCCACTCTCCACCAGCGCCAGTGATCCCGTGTCACTGCAGTCAGGTCATGTCACACCTCTCTTCCAGGCCCTCTATCCCTCTCACAGCAACAGTCAAAGGTCCTTACCATGACCTAGTCTTTGTCCTTTCTCTCTCTTTGGCCCCCTGGTTATCACACTATGTCTTCCAATCCGTGAGTTTCAAAGGCACCCCCGCCACACACACTAAAAAACACCCTGCCCCTCTTTCTAGGACACACTGAGCCAGTTCTGTGCTTCCTGTCTCTGCCTATAGTGGCAGTGCACACCGCTGTCCCTGGCCTCTCTTGCCAGCTTGCACCATGGCCACCAGAGGGCTTTCTGTGGGAAGCTACTTGTGCCAGAACCATCTGCCCTCCCCCCAGCCACCCGAGGCAGGTCTCCTGGGTCCTCCGGTCCCAGGCAGCTGCTGAGGCATGGCTACTGCTGTGGGTGCCCCAGCTCGCCCTGCTCAGCACCTACCGGTCCTCGCGATTCCGATCCACAGAGTAGAACTGTTTCCGCAGCCACCTGGGGGGACAGAAGCCTGCAGTGAGGGCCACTTCTCCAGCCAGAGCCAGGCCCTGAAAGGAGATTGGCAGGCAGAGTCTGGGCACACAGAGGCTTGGCTCCCTGCCCCTGTTCCCTGTGCCCCCAATCCTAACCACAGGGTCAGAGGTGGTTCTTACCTTTCAATCTGTAAGGGGGTGGCCGCCTGCAGTGTGTCCTCCATCAGCCAGGTCAAGCCCTTGATCCACATGTTCACTTCATCCTCAGATGTAGCTATGAGTGAGGGATACACACACACCTCCCGCTGAGTCAGGGCCCGGGGGACACGCCCCTTCACCCCCCTGCCTCCTCCAGCCCCTTGAGTCTCACCTTGCAGGCTGAGGGTCTTCAGGCGGAACTCCATTCCATACAGGATGACAAAGCAGTGTGACTGGTCGGGTCGGAAAGCAGGGTCCTCTTGGTAGCGATCAAAGTCCCGTGAGGTCTTCCCTGGGCGGATCTCCTTGATTTCGCGAATGTCAACTAGGAAGGCAGAGACAAGGCCAAGGTCAGGCTGGGGTACCCGAGACTAAGCATCAAAGTACGGGCAGCCTGGTTTCCTCACTCATCCCCACACTCTCCCTTAGGGAGGGGCCACAAAGAGAGACAGACCCCTCTCGAGAGGCAGAGCAAAGACCACTCAGTCCCACTGGGCTGCCCCTAAGCATAGACCTCAGCTAAAAGCTGAGAGATGTGGGAGAGCTGTCTGGGGGAGCAGCGAGCTCTGTCCTGTGTACCTTCCATCGCTGACAACACAGGCAGGTCACTTTGACCAGGAAAACAGCTGGACTCTAGAAAGAGAAACGGGGACCGCAGGCTGTTCTAGAAGGACATTTCCTGACACAAAATGCACAAACCACGTCATATGGTCCTGAGAGGAGGGTGGGGCTGGGCAGGCCCAAACGGCTGAGTCTCAGGGTCTCTGGGAAGAAACAGGGACCAGGCCCTGAGAACTGGTGCATCCCTGGAATGGCCCACCCACCGAAGTCATCCACAAGCAAGTCAGCAAGCGGCCTTGTGCCCCAGGCAGCGGCTGTCTCTGGGGATGCTTCTCACCCTGCGCCCGCCCCTGCCCTCACGCAGCACACAGAGCGCGGCGAGCACACGGGACTGAATGGCGGACACCTCAGCCGCTAACTCCAGAGACAATGCAGTCACTCATTTGACTCCGCCCTCTCGGTTTTACCATCTATGAAAGCAAAGGGCTCGGCTGAATTTCTCCAGAAATCAGGGTGGTAGAAAAACCATGCACGGGCTCTGGGGTGCGAGTGCCTGGACTAGAACCCCAGCTCAGGTCACACTGCAGCGTGACCTCAGCAGAGTGACAACTACTCTGACCCCATTTTGTCTGTGAACACAAGTAAGCACCAGCAGCGTCATAAGGGTGTTGGTAAGATCAAAAGTCCTACCAGCCCAAGCGCCCGGCCCGGGCCCTGCAGGCAGCATGGTGGGAGCACATTCAGTGCTGACTCCCTCACCGAAGTCTGCTCAGGCACACAGGTTCTGAACCAGGCCCGGAGGGGGCTGCCCAGGCCACAGACCCACTCACTCTCTCCCGTGGTGCTGGCTGGGGCCCTGGACAGAAGGCAGACTTTCTATAGATAAAGAGAGATTTAGGGAAGATTAAGTCAAACGGAAGAAGCCTGGCTTAGCCACCAGACACAACTCTGTCGGAGCACGCCCTTAGCTCGAGAGCCTCTCTTTCCAACGGCCCTCATCCCAGACCTGCCCGGAAGATTTGGAGCCAAGAACTGAGCCAAGAGCTGAGCCAGGTGCTGCCTGGCAGCCTCCGCCCCGGGAGCCCTCCCAGCCCAAACTGCACACCAGCCTGGCTGGAGTGTCCTAAGCGGCCCAAATCCCCAGGTTCCCTTCCTGTCCCTCTAAGCTGCAGCTGTGTCCCATCCACCCCGCCCTGAACAGAGGCCTGGCCACTGGCCCCAACTCCAGCTCCCCCATCACACATTACTGGTTCTGTGGGGCCTGCTCCCCTGCCCGTAGCAAACCCCTCGGGCCTGGCTGTCCAGCTGAAAGCCCTGGCTCTCCTGCCGGCTGCCCTGCCCCCCAGCTCTCCCCACCAGTCTGCCACCCTTCCTGAGTCTTCTGCATCTTTAAAGAACGTTGTTCTGGTCCCTCCCCAGTTTGCTCACTAAGGAGACATGGGCCGTTTCTGACCTTCAAAGCCCTTTGTGATGGGGCTCAGTCCCCCAGCTTCTGTCCTCCCATCTCCTCTGTTCCACACAAACTAAGCTGGACCAATGGCAAGAACAGCCTGTCCCCCATTTCACCCTGCTTCCTAGCTGGGGACTGTGTACCTCCTGGACTCCAAGTCTACCAGTGACCCACCTTGGGAGGTACCCTCCTGCAGTAGTCACACCCTGACACCAGAGGCACTACACGTGTATACATGCCTCACCCCCCTCACCCCCCCCCAGGCCAGGCGGGGCCCCTTCCAGCGCTTGCTCAATGACACAGAACTGAAGAGGGCAGGCGCACAGGCGGGGGGGAGGGGCTACACACTGGGAGTGGAGTTTTAAAGAGGAGGAGTTATACTCAGGTGGAAACAGGGAGGGGGAAACTGAGTCACAAAGACCCAGCCTGGACAGGCAGGCTGGAAAGGAGGAGCTGAACAGGGGAAATGCCCAAATGAGAAACTGCAGAATAACCACAAACTCTGCTCTTTAAACAGAAACCAGCCTGCTTTTCCGGTGCAGAGCTGCTGTCTCTCCCCTCCCACCACTCTCACACAGGCACACAAACACATATAGGCCAAGGCCTGCGTGGTCCACAGCCGGGGCCCTTCCTCTCAGCTATCCCCGCCCAGCCCCCTCACAGGAGTCCCGTCCTTAGAGGTCGTCCAACACGGCTACCACTCAGCAGGCAGCTGGACGGTCAGTACAAAGCCTGCTGCCAGCCACAGGCAGCCACTCCACAGGTGTGCACACAGACACGTGCGCAACACGCCGCCAGCAGGTCCTACGTGAAGCCCTGGCGTGGCCTGTATTCCTGAACATGTTTCCACGGAGACCAGGCTGGAAGCAGCAGCCTGCCTTCCAAGACAGGGCCAGGGGGACACAGGACAGCTCTGGGTCAGGCGTCCAATCTCCCAAGCTCCTGCTGGCTACCTGGTCACTTGGACTTCCCCATAAGAAGGTGCCAGCCTGGTCCTGATGCCCTCCAAGTCCATCAAGCCAACAGCGGGCTAAAAAGGACATGACACCAGGGTGAGACTCTACTATTCTTAAAAGCCACGTCCTATGCGACCTTCTACCCCCGCCCCCATCCCTCTTGCTTCCCAGAATAGAGCAGGGCCCCTTTTCCTGACAGAGCCAGGCCTGGTCCCCCCTCAGACTGCCATCCTGGGAAGGAGATTCCCGGGACAGACACAGCCCTGGTCCTGTTGTGGGGCGGGGAGGCTGAGCACCCAGCATGTCTGCAGTGGGATAGGAAGGGCAGAAAGAGAGACCGCTCACAGAGGAAGGGAGAACTGCTCAGAGGAGCAGGAAAGTGGCACCCTATTCCCAGAGACCCGTCACCCAGCACTCGCCCCCACTCAGAACCATGGGAGAACAACGTTCAGAGGAACACTGGGAAAAAGAAAAGCCAAAGGGACCGAGGTCCTTGCTAGGCTGGAGGCTGGGGAGTGAGGGAGGGGTCTCTGATGGCAAGGGCAGGGTCCCCCAGCCAGTGTTCCCATGGCCAGGCCAGTCTGATGTGCAGGGAGTGGAGGGCTTTCGCTGACAGGCCCATCCCCAAGCTCACTCCAAGCGAAGAGGGTCTGGGGTTCTGTCAGCATAACACAGCCAGCTCAGCCCATCAAGAGCCACAAAGCGCTCATTTCCGCCATGGACCAGGCCCCTGGGGGCCACGAAGGCTGCCCAGGCTTCAGAAATGGCATGGGTGTCACCATTCCAGCATGGCACACCGATGCAAGATAAGCTGCCTGGGTGGTGAGGGGGACTCAGTGTCAGGCATTTAATACTCACAGATGCTCATGAAGACGGGGAGACTAGCCCCCCTTGAGAGGCTTTGGGGTAAAGAGGGGCCACCTGCGCCTGGGGGAGGCCCTGGCATCACATGTTTGCTCTGAGGGCTAAGGACCTGCTCACAGGCCAGGCTGCCCGGTGCCCGGGGCAGAGGCCTGAGGGTCCTGGTGGCGACCTGCCTCCTGCCACTCCTCCAGGAAGCCTGGCTGACCATCCCTTTCCTGAAGGTTGCCCAAGCTTAACAGAGACAAACCACAGAGGTCTTACGTTATGTGGCCCTGGGCAGTCACTCGCTCTTTCAGGCTGTTTCCCTATCAGTAACCTGGGAATTCCCGCTACCTCAAAGGAATGTAGTCAGGGCCCTGCCTGGGACCAGTGGTCCCGGTGAAGCCTGCAGGGGTCTGCCCCCTGCCTGTGTCATGTGCCCAGTGCCACAAACACCAGTGCTATGTCAGCTGGCAGCAGGGGAGACAACTGCGGCCACCTACCAGGGCTTTGCTGGGGGCAAACCCAAACCTAGGAGAGTCAGACTGGGCCGCAGCTGTCTTGGCCCAAGGAAAAGAAGCCAAGTAGCCATGTCCCAGCTCAGAAAGGGGTCTGGCAGGGACGGACCACCGTGTGAAAGGAGTGGGCCTCCTGGGGCTCTGAGCCCAGACCAGCACGTGCAGATGTGCCGTAGGCCTCTTCCTGAGCCCGCAGCAGCCAGCCTGTTGCAGGCACAACACCCCACCTGCACACCCACCAAGAGTCTGAGGCATGTGCACCCCCGGCCTCACACTCAGTGGGGTACCAGAACAGAGACTGACAGATCTTTAATCACAAAAACCCAGTTTTGAATCCTGTTTCCCAGCATGTCACTCGGGTCTTGAGCAAGTCACTGTCCTTCCTCTCAGGTGGGTCATGGACAAAGAGAAGGCTGTAGTGGGGATGGGCCTGTGAAAAACCCTGCACATGCAGACAGGGATAGCCACAGGGGAGCAGTCAGTCGTGGCCTGTCCTGCGCGCCCCCAACCTTGGATTGGTTTTTGGTGTCTTTATGCAGAAGGAAACGGGCTCTCTGCCTGGCGGCAGGGGCCAGCTCTAAGCACTGCGGCGGAATGCCACGAGATGAATTTGCTCGTATGACCAGGCACAGACCCTCCCCTCTCTCTTCTCTTGGCCCAGGGATAGACTCCTTGCCTGACACCACAGAGACTAGAGACCAGCAGCTACTCAAAGTGGGGTGCCCTCCCTGGTCATGCAGACCTGGAGAGCAACTGCCTTCTGGAAGTACCAGTAATGGCACTCACTTTCTCTTTAAGAGCCTCAGTTTCCTCATCTGAGCTACAGAGCTGATCCCAGGCACTCTGGGACCTGTACAGCTAGACAGCAAGCAACAAAGGGTACCGCTGCTCTCGGGCCAGCTTAGAACCTGCCTCTGCGGAGCGCAGGCCTCCACCCCGAGGACAGCACCCACTGTCTTGGGTGGAGGAGGAAAGGGTGCTGTGAAGGGGACAAGCG